TTTTAATTTTATTTTCAAATCATGACTTTATTTCAATCTTTTTGAGGGTCACTCATAATTCTCTCATGTACTGATTATAACTAAAACTATAAAATCAACATCTATTCCAATTATAATCTTGAATATACTAAATTGAAATGCTCTTTTTTTTATTGTCATCTTTGGAGCTAAAAGTTTTATATTGCTAAATTGCTTTGGGGCTGGGCCAGTCTTCCATAGCTCTCTGCCCCTGTATTCTAGAATTCATGTGTATCATGCAAGCCATGGTTCTCTGTCATTCTACTCCTCTTAGTACAACTGGCAGACATCTACACATTTTTCAAGACACAAAATCGCATTTTACGCACTATCTTCTCTGTGAAGTCTTGTGGCTGCCAAGCTTCCACTCAGTCCTGGGCAGCTGCGTGTCCCTCCAAGGCGCTCAGCGGATCTCGCTTTACAGCCCTTCCACGTGGTGCTGTGCGTGTCCCGAGGACTGGGATGACCCAGAGGCGTATCGGGCACATGGTCTCACTGTGCCAGGTGCCTTTGGAAACGCTGGCTTCACAAACCAGCTGGGGGCGGTAACTAATAGGGAGTGAACGCCTGGGAAGCCCGAGGTCAGCACCAGAGGGAGACAGAGTCAGACCTGAGTTGCAGGTTTGAGTCGGGAGCAGAGAGGGCTAAGGACAGATTGGGGAGCAGGATGGGAGGCCGCTGCAGTGGTGCCCTAGGCCTTAGGCCATTAAGAAGACGGGGACTTCAGTCCAGTGCGCTCTGGTGCTGGTGGAAATGGGTCAGAAAGCGCGAAAGCTAAGAAACAATTGTCTCTTTAGCATTTCTGTTTTTACTTCAGTGAATTTAACTGAGGATGTGACTTATGTTTATATCTCTTCCTGCCTGTTGAAATGGATGGATGGATGGATGGATGGATGGATGGATGGATGGATGGATGGATGGATTTAGACTTTCAAATTTGGAGCTTAGGATGGCTACTCCATATTTCCCCCCGTTATGTCTAATTCAGCTTTTATTTATACCTTTATTTAAGAAGTTTGTTGTTTCCCTATGAAACTATACTGGAAGTTATAGTAGAATTTTGCCAGATGTGATATTTGTCATCTTATTTATGACAGTCTTTTAAAATATCATTATATTCTATATTTTTTATCTTGAATTTAGAATTCTCCTTGTATATACACCATTAGATTTTTATCCTTGGAAAACTGGAAATTTCATTTCTGAATTACATTGAAAAAATACTAATATGCCTCAATATATATATGTATACATATCACATTTGTATACATATGACCAGCTGGATAGAGCTATATACTAATATGCCTCTTAATATATATGCATATATATGATATTTGTATACATATGACTAGCTGGACAGAGGTGTATACATGTACATGGTTATTATTATGTACAGACATAATTAAGGTTTCAAGAGATTTGACAACTACTGAAGCATATTATTTTGTGATGATTTGTCTCCACTTGTAGAACACATTGCTATTGTAGATTTATCCAGTGTATGGAGGCACAAAATAAAGCCTATTTCAACTTCAAATGGCACTTTAAACAATGAGCAGATTTAGCACTCTGCTGAAATTGTATCATAAAGAACCAAAACTAAGAAGCTGAAAAAAAGGAAGCAAACATGTTTTAATACCAACTGATATTTATAAGACAAATTATGAAATTTGCTTCTTTGTGTTCTTTGGATTGAAAAACAATGTGTTTTATACACATTAAAAGAAAAAACAACCAAAACTAGATTTAAAACCAAGGAAATATACATTAGATATGAAACAAAGTAGCTTAGGTTTCCAGGTAGGTCCGAAGATTTTCCAGGCTTTTTAGAAGTTGATAATTTTGAGGAAATTTTTTCGCAGGCCCTCAACTTGCAAATGTGCTCTTTTCTAACATTGGTGTGCCTGAGTACCAAGTCTGCAGTCTGCTGCTTCTCCTCCACACTTCTTTCTTTTTACAAAATTTTGCCAAACAAAGGGACAATTTGAGAATGCATGCTTTGCAAACCACTGGCTGATTCTATTTGATTAAACCCTAAAAGCTAGTTTTCCAGTTTCTTTTAACTGCAAAACACTTGTGACAATTACAAGAGTGTTATGCATATTGGTAAAATCTATAAAAAAGCTTTTGATTCTAAATTAAGTTTAAAAATTATTACTTGCAAGCATCAATAAACAAATGCTTTTTGTTTTACCTTAGAATGTCTAGTGCAGTGTACACTGTTTATGTAAGATCTATAAATATTGATTAGATTTCTTCACCTGATTTATTCTACAAATGAAAAATATTTAAACCTCAAGAATATTTTATATTTTCAGGGAGGTCAAAACACAGCATCATTTGACACCACATAAATAGAATATTTTGGCCTCAATTTTTTAAGTGAATTTTTTCAAATCTCTATGTAGCATTAGAAAATGAATGTAATTATGTATGCTCTTTAATGCAATTTCTTAATTGAATTTTGGAGTTTTAGCTATTACTTTAGAAAATGTATAATGTTCTAAAATGCTCAGAGTGAAAAATTGCTATGATCTTTAATGTCTATTAATTTATGTTTCTTTAAACAAATTTTTTATTACCTCATTTTCATCACCTAATACTTTCTTAATTGTTATGTAAATTAGTATTCTATAGTTATTAGTAATAAACATAAACTCTGGCTAACTTTAGAAGGATTAATTTATTGGAATGATATCAGAAGCCTACAGAATCATTGTGAAGCTACGACCTAGACTTGGGAAGGATGGATATCAGGCCAGACCCTAAGCCTGGAAACCAAGAACTGCCACTAGTATGCCAGGGTAAGACATAGCTTCAGAGGTGTAATTCAGATCAGCCTCCGGAATCCAAATATACATATAAGCATTTTGGTTGAACGTGCAAATTTTAACAAATTATCTTTTACATCAGAGTATCCATCTAAGCCATCCCCAAACCTTACTGAAGTGAAAGACTTCTGTATGGTTCCTTTTGGCAAGTATTTATATTATCAAGTCATGGAGGGCACCTGCTATTTCATGTTCTCCATCTACTATTAGACTATCTGTCAGGGCAGTAATCCAGCCTGATATTCTATGAGATGGTAAGATAACTAAGGTCCCTGAGAACTAAATTGCAGCCAAGAGTGAGAGTTGATGGATTACTGATTTGGAAAATAAAAGTACACTGCTATCCCTCCTAGGTAATAGCAAATTGCCTCTCCTCCCCGCCCCCCATTAATCAGAATATGGGGTGGGGGCAGTAGATGCTGCGTACCAGGAAGAAGGCTCTAATAGGAACAGGAGCACAATTTGAGTTACCATCTGATCAACCTTATGTTCTGCAAGACATACATCTATTTTGTGAGCTAACACAAAGAATTAAATGGGAATATTCAAGGAATGACCACTCCTAAAATGTTCAAGTCTGAAATTCCCCCAGAGATGCAGTATTGCTTTTGATTTACTATTTTGGTAGGGAAGTATAAGGTTAGCTGGCAGCTGATCTGTGGTAGCTTTTTGTTTATTTATCTCTAGGGATGCCTGGAGCCATGATACCCTCCTTTGGCCAAGATAGGAATGAAATGTACTATCTAGTGATATATAATGTGCTATTTAAAGTTTGAAGCTCCCCTTAATTCACTCTGTACTACCTTATCTACCTTGTTTATTAAAAATAATCTGTATATGTTTTATCTGGTTACATAGCCTCATTTTGGCTATGTGATCAGTGGTGTATAAAAGACCCTTTGATACACTGATGGTGAAAATGTAAGTTGGTATAGCCATTAGGAAAATTAAAAATAGAACTACCATATGACTAGCATTCTCGCTTTGGGGTATATAGCCACAGTGCCCTTCAATGGATGAGTGGGAAAAAATGTGATACACACACACACACACACACGCATATATTCCAAGTAGAATCGATTTATGGTTAATAGGATGACTTGTATGAGCAATAGTATTGCTAGCTCCCTCGCCTGCAGTGTGTGACAGTAGGCAATGAATTAAAGCCTTGCTTTCTAGCACAGCTCTAGTTGAGAATAAGCAACAGGCCTCTCTCTCTTGTCCTCTGTATGTCTGAGAGAAGTGAGCTTTCTCACACTTACGAGTGAGAGATGGGATGGAATGATGGGCTGAGATGAACAGAGTGATATTAATCTGTGTAAATACAAAATCCTGAGTTTCATTGCAAAAAATTATACACACACACACACACCGGACACATTGAGATTCTATAAAGAGACCTTGAGTTTTTAGCTCACCACAACTCGAAATTAGATTTTCTTCCTGGAGACAGAAGGGAAAAGATGGTTCTGATTGCAACTGAGGCTGAGGGAAATGAATGACTTAACCAGCTGGATAACTATGCGGCATCGGGTCATGGGGGTCTTGAATGCTAAACCGTGTGGGGGTTTTTTCCTCGGTCCCGTGGACAACAGCAATGTTGGCGAAATAGTGAGAATTCAGTTCTGCGAAAGAAATGTTTCAGGGCGGCAAATTCCAGGCCCTCTGGTTAGGTGAATTAATTTCTGAAAGCGGTCTTACTTTTATTTTTTTAAAATATATCTTTATTGATCTCAGAGAGAGGAAAGGAGAGGGAGAGAGGTAGAAACATCAATGATGAGAGAGTCACTGATCGGCTAGCCCACAACCCGGAATGTGCCCTGACCGGGAATCGAACACCGAGCGCCTGCATCCCAGGTCGCGGCTCCCCCGCTGAGCCCCGCCCCGCCGGTCCGTCCTTCCTTTTAAAAGGAGCCTCCTTTGAAAGCCCGCTGGGTCTAGAGGCCCGCTCCGTCCTCAGAGGCTCCGCCCCCACAGGCCGCCCCGTGCCCGAGGGAGCTGCCCCAATCCCGAGCCCCAGTGCAGCCTTAACCCCGCCCC